ACTCATCTTTGAGAGAGATAGAAATAACTCATCTTTGAGAGAGATGGAAATAACTCATCTTTGAGAGAGATAGAAATAACTCATCTTTGGGAGAGATTGAAATAACTCATCTTTGAGAGATAGAAATAACTCATCTTTGAGAGAGATGGAAATAACTCATCTTTGAGAGATAGAAATAACTCATCTTTGAGAGAGATGGAAATAACTCATCTTTGGGAGAGATAGAAATAACTCATCTTTGAGAGAGATGGAAATAACTCATCTTTGGGAGAGATGGAAATAACTCATCTTTGAGAGGGATAGAAATAACTCATCTTTGAGAGAGATGGAAATAACTCATCTTTGAGAGTGATAGAAATAACTCATCTTTGAGAGAGAGAGATAACTCATCTTTGAGAGGGATGGAAATAACTCATCTTTGGGAGAGATAGAAATAACTCATCTTTGAGAGAGATGGAAATAACTCATCTTTGGGAGAGATGGAAATAACTCATCTTTGAGAGAGATAGAAATAACTCATCTTTGAGAGAGATGGAAATAACTCATCTTTGAGAGAGATAGAAATAACTCATCTTTGGGAGAGATGGAAATAACTCATCTTTGAGAGATAGAAATAACTCATCTTTGGGAGAGATGGAAATAACTCATCTTTGGGAGAGATGGAAATAACTCATCTTTGGGAGAGATGGAAATAACTCATCTTTGAGAGATAGAAATAACTCATCTTTGGGAGAGATGGAAATAACTCATCTTTGAGAGATAGAAATAACTCATCTTTGGGAGAGATGGAAATAACTCATCTTTGAGAGATAGAAATAACTCATCTTTGAGAGAGACGGAAATAACTCATCTTTGGGAGAGATGGAAATAACTCATCTTTGGGAGAGATGGAAATAACTCATCTTTGAGAGAGATAGAAATAACTCATTTTTGGGAGAGATGGAAATAACTCATCTTTGAGAGAGATGGAAATAACTCATCTTTGAGAGAGATAGAAATAACTCATCTTTGAGAGAGACGGAAATAACTCATCTTTAAGAGAGACAGAAATAACTCATCTTTGAGAGAGATAGAAATAACTCATCTTTGAGAGAGATGGAAATAACTCATCTTTGAGAGAGATAGAAATAACTCATCTTTGAGAGAGATGGAAATAACTCATCTTTGAGAGAGATAGAAATAACTCATCTTTGGGAGAGATGGAAATAACTCATCTTTGGGAGAGATGGAAATAACTCATCTTTGAGAGAGATGGAAATAACTCATCTTTGAGAGAGACGGAAATAACTCATCTTTGAGAGAGACGGAAATAACTCATCTTTGGAAGAGATGGAAATAACTCATCTTTGGAAGAGATGGAAATAACTCATCTTTGGGAGAGATGGAAATAACTCATCTTTAAGAGAGACGGAAATAACTCATCTTTGAGAGAGACGGAAATAACTCATCTTTGGGAGAGATGGAAATAACTCATCTTTAAGAGAGACAGAAATAACTCATCTTTGAGAGAGATAGAAATAACTCATCTTTGAGAGAGATGGAAATAACTCATCTTTGAGAGAGATAGAAATAACTCATCTTTGAGAGAGATAGAAATAACTCATCTTTGAGAGAGATAGAAATAACTCATCTTTGAGAGAGAGAGATAGAAATAACTCATCTTTGAGAGAGAGAGATAGAAATAACTCATCTTTGAGAGAGATGGAAATAACTCATCTTTGAGAGAGATAGAAATAACTCATCTTTGAGAGAGATAGAAATAACTCATCTTTGAGAGAGATAGAAATAACTCATCTTTGAGAGAGATAGAAATAACTCATCTTTGAGAGAGATAGAAATAACTCATCTTTGAGAGAGATGGAAATAACTCATCTTTGGGGTGGGGGTGGTAGCTATATGCTTAGAGAGCAGGGGAGTAACTGCGTGCGTTTATGTTGTGTCTTGCATTGTCCCCATGAAGAGAATTCTATATATAGATCGTAGAACCATGGCTGAATTAGTGATGGCTATTAGGGGCAGATAATTTAGCTTTTAAACTATTTGAAACTAGGGTGATAACATGTTCTGCTTGATCTTTTTATTGTCGTCAGTAAACGGTCGTCACAGACGGTTGCTTTCAGTGTTTCACGGGAGGGGGGAGGGGGGATAATCATCCTACTCGAGCTACAGATAGTGTTTTAAAGCAAAATATTTTCAGTCACAGTGTTGAATTCACAAATTATGAATTATTGAAAAGTAGAAAATAAAAAAACTAAATAGCGGTGTACGCTTATGGCGCGGGTCAGCTCGTAGGGCCATAATCTTCCACTTATGGCGCGGGTCAGCTCGTAGGGCCATAATCTTCCACTTATGGCGCGGGTCAGCTCGTAGGGCCATAATCTTCCACTTATGGCGCGGGTCAGCTCGTAGGGCCATAATCTTCCACTTATGGCGCGGGTCAGCTCGTAGGGCCATAATCTTCCACTTATGGCGCGGGTCAGCTCTTAGGGCCATAATCTTCCACTTATGGCGTGGGTCAGCTCGTAGGGCCATAATCTTCCACTTATGGCGCGGGTCAGCTCGTAGGGCCATAATCTTCCACTTATGGCGCGGGTCAGCTCTTAGGGCCATAATCTTCCACTTTGCCTGTTTCCCTCATGTGTAAGATTGGCCTAGACATCCCTGCATTCTTTTGTTGGATGCAATTTATGTTGTCACATACTTCCACTGTATATGTTGTCACATACTTCCACTGTATATGTTGTCACATACTTCCACTATATATGTTGTCACATACTTCCACTGTATATGTTGTCACATACTTCCACTGTGTATGTTGTCACATACTTCCACTATATATGTTGTCACATACTTCCACTGTATATGTTGTCACATACTTCCACTGTATATGTTGTCACATACTTCCACTGTATATGTTGTCACATACTTCCACTGTATATGTTGTCACATACTTCCACTGTATATGTTGTCACATACTTCCACTATATATGTTGTCACATACTTCCACTGTATATGTTGTCACATACTTCTACTGTATATGTTGTCACATACTTCTACTGTATAGGTTGTCACATATTTCTACTGTATATGTTGTCACATACTTCCACTGTATATGTTGTCACATACTTCCACTGTATATGTTGTCACATACTTCTACTGTATAGGTTGTCACATATTTCTACTGTATATGTTGTCACATACTTCCACTGTATATGTTGTCACATACTTCCACTGTATATGTTGTCACATACTTCTACTGTATAGGTTGTCACATATTTCTACTGTATATGTTGTCACATATTTCTACTGTATATGTTGTCACATACTTCCACTGTATATGTTGTCACATACTTCCACTGTATATGTTGTCACATACTTCCACTGTATATGTTGTCACATACTTCCACTGTATATGTTGTCACATACTTCCACTGTATATGTTGTCACATACTTCCACTGTATATGTTGTCACATACTTCCACTGTATATGTTGTCACATACTTCCACTGTATATGTTGTCACATACTTCCACTGTATATGTTGTCACATACTTCCACTGTATATGTTGTCACATACTTCCACTGTATATGTTGTCACATACTTCCACTATATATGTTGTCACATACTTCCACTGTATATGTTGTCACATACTTCCACTGTATATGTTGTCACATACTTCCACTGTATATGTTGTCACATACTTCCACTGTATATGTTGTCACATACTTCCACTGTATATGTTGTCACATACTTCCACTGTATATGTTGTCACATACTTCCACTGTATATGTTGTCACATACTTCCACTGTGTATGTTGTCACATACTTCCACTGTGTATGTTGTCACATACTTCCACTATATATGTTGTCACATACTTCCACTGTATATGTTGTCACATACTTCCACTGTATATGTTGTCACATACTTCCACTGTATATGTTGTCACATACTTCCACTGTATATGTTGTCACATACTTCTACTGTATAGGTTGTCACATATTTCTACTGTATATGTTGTCACATACTTCCACTGTATATGTTGTCACATACTTCCACTGTATATGTTGTCACATACTTCTACTGTATAGGTTGTCACATATTTCTACTGTATATGTTGTCACATATTTCTACTGTATATGTTTTCACATACTTCCACTGTATATGTTGTCACATACTTCCACTGTATATGTTGTCACATACTTCCACTGTATATGTTGTCACATACTTCCACTGTATATGTTGTCACATACTTCCACTGTATATGTTGTCACATACTTCTACTGTATAGGTTGTCACATATTTCTACTGTATATGTTGTCACATACTTCCACTGTATATGTTGTCACATACTTCCACTGTATATGTTGTCACATACTTCTACTGTATAGGTTGTCACATATTTCTACTGTATATGTTGTCACATATTTCTACTGTATATGTTGTCACATACTTCCACTGTATATGTTGTCACATACTTCCACTGTATATGTTGTCACATACTTCCACTGTATATGTTGTCACATACTTCCACTGTATATGTTGTCACATACTTCCACTGTATATGTTGTCACATACTTCCACTGTATATGTTGTCACATACTTCCACTGTATATGTTGTCACATACTTCCACTATATATGTTGTCACATACTTCCACTGTATATGTTGTCACATACTTCCACTGTATATGTTGTCACATACTTCCACTGTATATGTTGTCACATACTTCCACTGTATATGTTGTCACATACTTCCACTGTATATGTTGTCACATACTTCCACTGTATATGTTGTCACATACTTCCACTGTATATGTTGTCACATACTTCCACTGTATATGTTGTCACATACTTCCACTGTATATGTTGTCACATACTTCCACTGTATATGTTGTCACATACTTCCACCGTATATGTTGTCACATACTTCCACTGTATATGTTGTCACATACTTCCACTGTATCTTTGTGTGACTATATAATGATAGATATTCCTCTCTAGGTGGATGATGTTGCCTGTCAAATCAAGCTGGTCGGTGTACTCAACCTTTCAGAAAATGTGCTGCCATAAGACAACTGCCCACATCAGAGCCAATTCAAGGTTAGACATTTATCATTTACTATTTGAATAGACTCAATTCCATTTGATTTTAAAACACTTCAACAATTGCTATAGAAACTAACCTTAAACATTATCTCATTTATTCAAAAAATATTTAGCTTAAAATAAAATAACCTTATAACCTAAGTTATTAGGATTTTTTTAAGCTCAAAACAATTGTGACTATGTAAATCTAATGGACTTTTGTATCAAGGTTTTTGAGTGAAGTTTCTCCTGGTTATGATGTTGTTGTTGGTGGTGCTGGTTACGATGTTGTTGTTGTTGGTGGTGGCCACGCTGGCACTGAGGCGGCATGTGCAGCGGCAAGAATGGGAGCCAACACACTGCTGATCACTCACAAGCTACACACTATAGGTTGTACAATTACTCTAGTCACTCACAAGCTACAGACTATAGGTTGTACAATTACTCTAGTCACAAGCTACAGACTATAGGTTGTACAATTACTCTAGTCACAAGCTACACACTATAGGTTGTACAATTACTCTAGTCACTCACAAGCTACACACTATAGGTTGTACAATTACTCTAGTCACTCACAAGCTACAGACTATAGGTTGTACAATTACTCTAGTCACAAGCTACAGACTATAGGTTGTACAATTACTCTAGTCACAAGCTACATACTATAGGTTGTACAATTACTCTAGTCACAAGCTACACACTATAGGTTGTACAATTACTCTAGTCACAAGCTACACACTATAGGTTGTACAATTACTCTAGTCACAAGCTACATACTATAGGTTGTACAATTACTCTAGTCACAAGCTACACACTATAGGTTGTACAATTACTCTAGTCACAAGCTACATACTATAGGTTGTACAATTACTCTAGTCACTCACAAGCTACACACTATAGGTTGTACAATTACTCTAGTCACAAGCTACAGACTATAGGTTGTACAATTACTCTAGTCACTCACAAGCTACACACTATAGGTTGTACAATTACTCTAGTCACTCACAAGCTACAGACTATAGGTTGTACAATTACTCTAGTCACAAGCTACATACTATAGGTTGTACAATTACTCTAGTCACAAGCTACATACTATAGGTTGTACAATTACTCTAGTCACAAGCTACAGACTATAGGTTGTACAATTACTCTAGTCACAAGCTACAGACTATAGGTTGTACAATTACTCTAGTCACTCACAAGCTACACACTATAGGTTGTACAATTACTCTAGTCACTCACAAGCTACACACTATAGGTTGTACAATTACTCTAGTCACAAGCTACAGACTATAGGTTGTACAATTTCTCTAGTCACAAGCTACAGACTATAGGTTGTACAATTACTCTAGTCACAAGCTACAGACTATAGGTTGTACAATTACTCTAGTCACAAGCTACAGACTATAGGTTGTACAATTACTCTAGTCACTCACAAGCTACAGACTATAGGTTGTACAATTACTCTAGTCACTCACAAGCTACACACTATAGGTTGTACAATTACTCTAGTCACTCACAAGCTACACACTATAGGTTGTACAATTACTCTAGTCACTCACAAGCTACAGACTATAGGTTGTACAATTACTCTAGTCACTCACAAGCTACACACTATAGGTTGTACAATTACTCTAGTCACAAGCTACAGACTATAGGTTGTACAATTACTCTAGTCACAAGCTACACACTATAGGTTGTACAATTACTCTAGTCACTCACAAGCTACAGACTATAGGTTGTACAATTACTCTAGTCACAAGCTACAGACTATAGGTTGTACAATTACTCTAGTCACAAGCTACACACTATAGGTTGTACAATTACTCTAGTCACTCACAAGCTACACACTATAGGTTGTACAATTACTCTAGTCACAAGCTACACACTATAGGTTGTACAATTACTCTAGTCACTCACAAGCTACAGACTATAGGTTGTACAATTACTCTAGTCACAAGCTACAGACTATAGGTTGTACAATTACTCTAGTCACTCACAAGCTACACACTATAGGTTGTACAATTACTCTAGTCACAAGCTACAGACTATAGGTTGTACAATTACTCTAGTCACAAGCTACACACTATAGGTTGTACAATTACTCTAGTCACTCACAAGCTACACACTATAGGTTGTACAATTACTCTAGTCACAAGCTACAGACTATAGGTTGTACAATTACTCTAGTCACTCACAAGCTACAGACTATAGGTTGTACAATTACTCTAGTCACAAGCTACATACTATAGGTTGTACAATTACTCTAGTCACAAGCTACATACTATAGGTTGTACAATTACTCTAGTCACAAGCTACAGACTATAGGTTGTACAATTACTCTAGTCACAAGCTACAGACTATAGGTTGTACAATTACTCTAGTCACTCACAAGCTACACACTATAGGTTGTACAATTACTCTAGTCACTCACAAGCTACACACTATAGGTTGTACAATTACTCTAGTCACTCACAAGCTACAGACTATAGGTTGTACAATTACTCTAGTCACAAGCTACAGACTATAGGTTGTACAATTACTCTAGTCACAAGCTACACACTATAGGTTGTACAATTACTCTAGTCACTCACAAGCTACAGACTATAGGTTGTACAATTACTCTAGTCACAAGCTACACACTATAGGTTGTACAATTACTCTAGTCACAAGCTACACACTATAGGTTGTACAATTACTCTAGTCACAAGCTACACACTATAGGTTGTACAATTACTCTAGTCACAAGCTACACACTATAGGTTGTACAATTACTCTAGTCACAAGCTACATACTATAGGTTGTACAATTACTCTAGTCACTCACAAGCTACAGACTATAGGTTGTACAATTACTCTAGTCACTCACAAGCTACACACTATAGGTTGTACAATTACTCTAGTCACTCACAAGCTACACACTATAGGTTGTACAATTACTCTAGTCACTCACAAGCTACACACTATAGGTTGTACAATTACTCTAGTCACTCACAAGCTACACACTATAGGTTGTACAATTACTCTAGTCACAAGCTACAGACTATAGGTTGTACAATTACTCTAGTCACAAGCTACACACTATAGGTTGTACAATTACTCTAGTCACAAGCTACACACTATAGGTTGTACAATTACTCTAGTCACAAGCTACATACTATAGGTTGTACAATTACTCTAGTCACAAGCTACAGACTATAGGTTGTACAATTACTCTAGTCACAAGCTACAGACTATAGGTTGTACAATTACTCTAGTCACTCACAAGCTACACACTATAGGTTGTACAATTACTCTAGTCACTCACAAGCTACACACTATAGGTTGTACAATTACTCTAGTCACTCACAAGCTACAGACTATAGGTTGTACAATTACTCTAGTCACAAGCTACAGACTATAGGTTGTACAATTACTCTAGTCACAAGCTACACACTATAGGTTGTACAATTACTCTAGTCACTCACAAGCTACAGACTATAGGTTGTACAATTACTCTAGTCACAAGCTACAGACTATAGGTTGTACAATTACTCTAGTCACTCACAAGCTACACACTATAGGTTGTACAATTACTCTAGTCACAAGCTACAGACTATAGGTTGTACAATTACTCTAGTCACTCACAAGCTACACACTATAGGTTGTACAATTACTCTAGTCACAAGCTACACACTATAGGTTGTACAATTACTCTAGTCACAAGCTACAGACTATAGGTTGTACAATTACTCTAGTCACTCACAAGCTACACACTATAGGTTGTACAATTACTCTAGTCACAAGCTACACACTATAGGTTGTACAATTACTCTAGTCACAAGCTACATACTATAGGTTGTACAATTACTCTAGTCACAAGCTACAGACTATAGGTTGTACAATTACTCTAGTCACAAGCTACAGACTATAGGTTGTACAATTACTCTAGTCACTCACAAGCTACACACTATAGGTTGTACAATTACTCTAGTCACAAGCTACATACTATAGGTTGTACAATTACTCTAGTCACTCACAAGCTACAGACTATAGGTTGTACAATTACTCTAGTCACTCACAAGCTACACACTATAGGTTGTACAATTACTCTAGTCACAAGCTACAGACTATAGGTTGTACAATTACTCTAGTCACTCACAAGCTACAGACTATAGGTTGTACAATTACTCTAGTCACAAGCTACAGACTATAGGTTGTACAATTACTCTAGTCACAAGCTACACACTATAGGTTGTACAATTACTCTAGTCACAAGCTACAGACTATAGGTTGTACAATTACTCTAGTCACAAGCTACACACTATAGGTTGTACAATTACTCTAGTCACTCACAAGCTACACACTATAGGTTGTACAATTACTCTAGTCACTCACAAGCTACATACTATAGGTTGTACAATTACTCTAGTCACAAGCTACAGACTATAGGTTGTACAATTACTCTAGTCACTCACAAGCTACACACTATAGGTTGTACAATTACTCTCTTAAAAATCTTTAATATCAATCATCGTACCATAATGTTTTCAACTTTTTATTTGAAACTAATGACTTATGATCTGCTCTGATTTAGGTGAAATGTCTTGTAATCCATCTTTTGGTGGCATTGGCAAAGGTCACCTTATGAGGGAAATAGATGCTCTTGGTGGAGTTTGTGCTAGAATATGTGGTAAGATTCAAATTATATAGAATTTATCCTTAAAAATACAATCATTCACCTAATAAACACACAGTATCCAAGAAAATCCATTCAAAATTATCAAAGTCTATCAATAACAGTATAGAAGTTGATGACTTCTTCTCTTTCATGGGTAATTGTAATGTTGGAAGGGATTTATCAAAGTCTATCAATAACAGTATAGAAGTTGATGACTTCTTCTCTTTCATGGGTAATTGTAATGTTGGAAGGGATTTATCAAAGTCTATCAATAACAGTATAGAAGTTGATGACTTCTTCTCTTTCATGGGTAATTGTAATGTTGGAAGGGATTTATCAAAGTCTATCAATAACAGTATAGAAGTTGATGACTTCTTCTCTTTCATGGGTAATTGTAATGTTGGAAGGGATATAGAAGTTGATGACTTCTTCTCTTTCATGGGTAATTGTAATGTTGGGATTTTCTCCAACACAATTAATTATCACACGGCAACATTTTATGCGTTCTACAGTCCTTTGACTGCTAATTATCACACGGCAACATTTTATGCGTCCTACAGTCCTTTGACTGCTAATTATCACACGGCAACATTTTATGTGTCCTACAGTCCTTTGACTGCTATTTATCACACGGCAACATTTTATGCGTCCTACAGTCCTTTGACTGCTATTTATCACACGGCAACATTTTATGCGTCCTACAGTCCTTTGACTGCTATTTATCACACGGCAACATTTTATGCGTTCTACAGTCCTTTGACTGCTATTTATCACACGGCAACATTTTATGCGTCCTACAGTCCTTTGACTGCTATTTATCACACGGCAACATTTTATGCGTCCTACAGTCCTTTGACTGCTATTTATCACACGGCAACATTTTATGCGTCCTACAGTCCTTTGACTGCTATTTATCACACGGCAACATTTTATGCGTTCTACAGTCCTTTGACTGCTATTTATCACACGGCAACATTTTATGCGTTCTACAGTCCTTTGACTGCTATTTTAGCCTGTTTATTGTTCTGGCCTTTGTTACTTACTATCAATCTAACTACCTCATCTTATTAAAATAGCCAAAAATAAAATATGAGAATAGTATCATTTAAGTGTAATATTTGTACAGATATATGTATATATATTAAAATAAATTGCATAAAAAACGTTTTAATAACAAGCTGTTATGTGATAATGCACTAAAAGTAGAAAAGGAGGGCGATATTTCTGAGAAAAAAAAATCTATTTACAATGTCCTACAATGATTACAATGTGATGGTCAAGCAGTTATAGAATAGCTGATGTGTACAAATCAATGAATGGCTTGAGTTCACTAGTTGGGTATCTGACTGGAGATGCTGACTATAAATGTTGACCAGTCAACTCAAAGAAACAAGTAAATCTATAAATGTTGACCAGTCAACTCAAAGAAACAAGTAAATCTATAAATGTTGACCAGTCAACTCAAAGAAACAAGTAAATCTATAAATGTTGACCAGTCAACTCAAAGAAACAAGTAAATCTATAAATGTTGACCAGTCAACTCAAAGAAACAAGTAAATCTATAAATGTTGACCAGTCAACTCAAAGAAACAAGTAAATCTATAAATGTTGACCAGTCAACTCAAAGAAACAAGTAAATCTATAAATGTTGACCAGTCAACTCAAAGAAACAAGTAAATCTATAAATGTTGACCAGTCAACTCAAAGAAACAAGTAAATCTATAAATGTTGACCAGTCAACTCAAAGAAACAAGTAAATCTATAAATGTTGACCAGTCAACTCAAAGAAACAAGTAAATCTATAAATGTTGACCAGTCAACTCAAAGAAACAAATAAATCTATAAATGTTGACCAGTCAACTCAAAGAAACAAGTAAATCTACTTCACCTTTGGAGGAATCTACCATTATCATAGGCCTCTGCACTAAAATATAGTTTTAAAATATTTAAATGATTATTTCACTTTAAAAATTAATGTTAGAGTTAGAATGAATACACTGTCCCTAAATAAATTAAAAATATAGTTTTAAAATATTTAAATGATTATTTCACTTTAAAAATTAATGTTAGAGTTAGAATGAATACACTGTCCCTAAATAAATTAAAAATATAGTTTTAAAATATTTAAATGATTATTTCACTTTAAAAATTAATGTTAGAGTTAGAATGAATACACTGTCCCTAAATAAATTAAAAATATAGTTTTAAAATATTTAAATGATTATTTCACTTTAAAAATTAATGTTAGAGTTAGAATGAATACACTGTCCCTAAATAAATTAAAAATATAGTTTTAAAATATTTAAATGATTATTTCACTTTAAAAATTAATGTTAGAGTTAGAATGAATACACTGTCCCTAAATAAATTAAAAATATAGTTTTAAAATATTTAAATGATTATTTCACTTTAAAAATTAATGTTAGAGTTAGAATGAATACACTGTCCCTAAATAAATTAAAATTGATAGTTTTAAAACAATTGATTTGGCAATTGTGAGAATTATCACATAACTAAGAATTGTAATACATCAGAAGTTTCAGTAAGTTAATAGTTTGGGTATTTATAAATGAAACTTGCGAACATATATTTATAGGGGTAATATATGTAATATATAATTCTCTTCTGGGAGCGGCTAGAAAACAAGCTGCAAACGCGCTCCCTACCTCCCCACCCCTACATGGTTTTAGTGAGCTGTGTTCACTCTAAATGTTGACAAGCAGAGCCAACGATTTTAAACGTAGGGGGGGGGGGGGAGGAAGGGGGGGGTTATGGTCCTTAACGAGCTACTTATAGTGTTTTAAAGAAATATTTACAGTGGCAGCGTTGGTACCGTCGAATTCACAAATTATGAATTACTGAAAAGTAGAAAAAACAACAACTAAATAGCGGCGTATGTTATGCCGCGGGCCGGCTCGTATGTAATAAAATACTTAAGTGGCTAAAGCAAATCTTTAGTATCCTTATCTGTAACTGAACTTTTATTATGGTTTAGGCATAAATACTACACTGTAAATTAATAAATGAGAATCAAATGTTTTGTTAGTCGTAAAGCAATTGGCTTAAATAATGATAATTAATAATATTTTTGTGTTTTATTTGTGATACTATTATTATCTATATCATTTAAAAAAAATATATACAATGTGGTATAATAAACAAATTGCTGCAAAAAAAAGGTAGCTTACATAGTATAATTATATATATGAATAAAACTATACCTATATTCTTGCACAAAATATCATGTCATCTATAATGTCATGTCATCTATAATGACAAGAGCCAAACACATATGTTGCCAAAATGCTGCTTTAAATTTGCTAGTAGCGCAAAGTTGACAAATCCATTGAAAGTACAAGTTGGTAAGTTTCAGTGGCTCATTATAATACAAGTAGGTCTACTGTTTTTCATTAATTTAGGTTAATTTAGTTAAGTGTACTTTACGTTACTTAAAACATTGAGTTGAAAAATGAATGTACACTTTAGGATTTATACATATTTAATGTTTTAAACATTAGTTTAAATTTATTCACAAAAATTAAAACCATCAGAATATAGCATAATGTGATCAAGTGCAGTTTTTTACTAAGTGCAGGTCTTCCAAAAAGACATCTGTAAGAATCTGTTGTTTTTGTGACAACTAGTTGTTATTGTGAGTTCTTTTTTTTTCTTTAAAGACAGACTGCTGGTTCATTTCACAACTTTATTTACAATAGTCAAATCCACAATGAATACAGTTCATTTCAGTTATAAAACATCCATCGTTTGATATAGCACGTATACTTAAAGTGTGTGAATACACAAGATAAAATCACATGGATAATACTGGATACATCTTAAGTTCTATCAGTCAAAACACATGGATAATACTGGATACATCTTAAGTTCTAACCGTCAAAACACATGGATAATACTGGATACATCTTAAGATCTAACAGTCAAAACACATGGCTTCCCTTTGCATTCATCTAGGCGGCCTCTCGAACATCTCATTTACCTGATTATATAGCCCTACATTCACTCCCATCAGTCAGTGAGCCATCTCCAAAATACAGTAATTATACATTCACTTCCGATGGCCAAGTTTTCAACTATCACACTTGTTTCACTCCAAGTACAATTCACCATAATACAGTCTGTTAAAACACCTTTCCTCTTCAAATAAATCCACCTGACAAACACAGTGCATTTCATCTTTAGAGTATAGATAATTATGCACTAACAAGAAGGAAATTATTTTCTTTCAATCTATTATAATGCACCACTATTGTTTATACCGCAGATATTTCTGGTATCCAGTACAAAATTTTAAATAGAAGGAAAGGTCCTGCTGTATGGGTATGTTTTTTAAATCTTCAAACAATAGTTCCATTTTTTTAATCTTCAAACAATAGTTCCATTTTTTAAATCTTCAAACAATAGTTCCATTTTTTAAATCTTCAAACAATAGTTCCATTTTTTTTATCTTCAAACAATAGTTCCATTTTTTTTAAATCTTCAAACAATAGTTCCATTTTTTTTAAATCTTCAAACAATAGTTCCATTTTTTTTAAATCTTCAAACAATAGTTCCATTTTTTTAAAATCTTCAAACAATAGTTCCATTTTTTTTAAATCTTCAAACAATAGTTCCATTTTTTTAATCTTCAAACAATAGTTCCATTTTTTAAATCTTCAAACAATAGTTCCATTTTTTAAATCTTCAAACAATAGTTCCATTTTTTTTATCTTCAAACAATAGTTCCATTTTTTTTAAATCTTCAAACAATAGTTCCATTTTTTTTAAATCTTCAAACAATAGTTCCATTTTTTTAATCTTCAAACAATAGTTCCATTTTTAAAATCTTCAAACAATAGTTCCATTTTTTAAATCTTCAAACAATAGTTCCATTTTTTTTATCTTCAAACAATAGTTCCATTTTTTTTAAATCTTCAAACAATAGTTCCATTTTTTTTAAATCTTCAAACAATAGTTCCATTTTTTTAAAATCTTCAAACAATAGTTCCATTTTTTTAAAATCTTCAAACAATAGTTCCATTTTTTTTAAATCTTCAAACAATAGTTCCATTTTTTTAATCTTCAAACAATAGTTCCATTTTTTAAATCTTCAAACAATAGTTCCATTTTTTAAATCTTCAAACAATAGTTCCATTTTTTAAATCTTCAAACAATAGTTCCATTTTTTTTATCTTCAAACAATAGTTCCATTTTTTTTAAATCTTCAAACAATAGTTCCATTTTTTTAATCTTCAAACAATAGTTCCATTTTTTTTAAATCTTCAAACAATAGTTTCATTTTTTAAAATCTTCAAACAATAGTTCCATTTTTTTTAATCTTCAAACAATAGTTCCATTTTTTTAATCTTCAAACAATAGTTCCATTTTTTAAATCTTCAAACAATAGTTTCATTTTTTTAAAAATCTTCAAACAATAGTTCCATTTTTTTTAAATCTTCAAACAATAGTTCCATTTTTTTTTAAAATCTTCAAACAATAGTTCCATTTTTTTTAAATCTTCAAACAATAGTTTCATTTTTTAAAATCTTCAAACAATAGTTCCATTTTTTTAATCTTCAAACAATAGCTCCATTTTTTTAAATCTTCAAACAATAGTTTCATTTTTTAAAATCTTCAAACAATAGTTCCATTTTTTAAATCTTCAAACAATAGTTCCATTTTTTTAATCTTCAAACAATAGTTCCATTTTTTAAATCTTCAAACAATAGTTTCATTTTTTTAAAAATCTTCAAACAATAGTTCCATTTTTTTTAAATCTTCAAACAATAGTTCCATTTTTTTAAAAAATCTTCAAACAATAGTTCCATTTTTTTTAAATCTTCAAACAATAGTTTCATTTTTTAAAATCTTCAAACAATAGTTCCATTTTTTTAATCTTCAAACAATAGTTCCATTTTTTTTAAATCTTCAAACAATAGTTTCATTTTTTAAAATCTTCAAACAATAGTTCCATTTTTTAATCTTCAAACAATAGTTCCATTTTTTTAATCTTCAAACAATAGTTCCATTTTTTAAATCTTCAAACAATAGTTCCATTTTTTTTAAATCTTCAAACAATAGTTCCATTTTTTTAAAATCTTCAAACAATAGTTCCATTTTTTTTAAATCTTCAAACAATAGTTCCATTTTTTTAAAATCTTCAAACAATAGTTCCATTTTTTTAAAATCTTCAAACAATAGTTCCATTTTTTTAAAATCTTCAAACAATAGTTCCATTTTTTTAAAATCTTCAAACAATAGTTCCATTTTTTAAAATCTTCAAACAATAGTTCCATTTTTTAAAATCTTCAAACAATAGTTCCATTTTTTAAAAATCTTCAAACAATAGTTCCATTTTTTTAATCTTCAAACAATAGTTCCATTTTTTTAAAATCTTCAAACAATAGTTCCATTTTTTAAAATCTTCAAACAATAGTTCCATTTTTTTAAAATCTTCAAACAATAGTTCCATTTTTTTAAATCTCCAAACAATAGTTCCATTTTTTTTAATCTTCAAACAATAGTTCCATTTTTTTAAAATCTTCAAACAATAGTTCCATTTTTTTAAATCTTCAAACAATAGTTCCATTTTTTTAAATCTTCAAACAATAGTTCCATTTTTTTAAATCTTCAAACAATAGTTCCATTTTTTAAAATCTTCAAACAATAGTTCCATTTTTTTAAAATCTTCAAACAATAGTTCCATTTTTTTAAATCTTCAAACAATAGTTCCATTTTTTTAAATCTTCAAACAATAGTTCCATTTTTTTAAATCTTCAAACAATAGTTCCATTTTTTTAAATCTTCAAACAATAGTTCCATTTTTTTAAATCTTCAAACAATAGTTCCATTTTTTAAAATCTTCAAACAATAGTTCCATTTTTTTAAAATATTCAAACAATAGTTCCATTTTTTTAAATCTTCAAACAATAGTTCCATTTTTTAAAATCTTCAAACAATAGTTCCATTTTTTTAAATCTTCAAACAATAGTTCCATTTTTTTAATCTTCAAACAATAGTTTCATTTTTTAAAATCTTCAAACAATAGTTCCATTTTTAAAATCTTCAAACAATAGTTTCATTTTTTTTAAATCTTCAAACAATAGTTTCATTTTTTAAAATCTTCAAACAATAGTTCCATTTTTTTAATCTTCAAACAATAGTTCCATTTTTTAAAAATCTTCAAACAATAGTTTCATTTTTTAAAATCTTCAAACAATAGTTCCATTTTTTAAATCTTCAAACAATAGTTCCATTTTTTTAATCTTCAAACAATAGTTCCATTTTTTAAATCTTCAAACAATAGTTTCATTTTTTTAAAAATCTTCAAACAATAGTTCCATTTTTTTAAATCTTCAAACAATAGTTCCATTTTTTTTAAAAATCTTCAAACAATAGTTCCATTTTTTTTAAATCTTCAAACAATAGTTTCATTTTTAAAAATCTTCAAACAATAGTTCCATTTTTTTAATCTTCAAACAATAGTTCCATTTTTTTTAAATCTTCAAACAATAGTTTCATTTTTTAAATCTTCAAACAATAGTTTCATTTTTTTTAAATCTTCAAACAATAGTTTCATTTTTTAAAATCTTCAAACAATAGTTCCATTTTTTTAATCTTCAAACAATAGTTCCATTTTTTTTAAAAATCTTCAAACAATAGTTCCATTTTTTTAAAATCTTCAAACAATAGTTTCATTTTTTAAAATCTTCAAACAATAGTTCCATTTTTTTAATCTTCAAACAATAGTTCCATTTTTTAAATCTTCAAACAATAGTTTCATTTTTTTAAAAATCTTCAAACAATAGTTCCATTTTTTTTAAATCTTCAAACAATAGTTCCATTTTTTTTAAAAATCTTCAAACAATAGTTCCATTTTTTTTAAATCTTCAAACAATAGTTTCATTTTTAAAAATCTTCAAACAATAGTTCCATTTTTTTAATCTTCAAACAATAGTTCCATTTTTTTTAAATCTTCAAACAATAGTTTCATTTTTTAAAATCTTCAAACAATAGTTCCATTTTTTTAATCTTCAAACAATAGTTCCATTTTTTTAATCTTCAAACAATAGTTCCATTTTTTTTAAAAATCTTCAAACAATAGTTCCATTTTTTTAAAATCTTCAAACAATAGTTTCATTTTTTAAAATCTTCAAACAATAGTTCCATTTTTTTAATCTTCAAACAATAGTTCCATTTTTTTTAAATCTTCAAACAATAGTTTCATTTTTTAAAATCTTCAAACAATAGTTCCATTTTTTTTAATCTTCAAACAATAGTTCCATTTTTTTAATCTTCAAACAATAGTTCCATTTTTTAAATCTTCAAACAATAGTTTCATTTTTTTAAAAATCTTCAAACAATAGTTCCATTTTTTTTAAATCTTCAAACAATAGTTCCATTTTTTTTTAAAATCTTCAAACAATAGTTCCATTTTTTTTTAATCTTCATACAATAGTTTCATTTTTTAAAATCTTCAAACAATAGTTCCATTTTTTTAATCTTCAAACAATAGTTCCATTTTTTTTAAATCTTCAAACAATAGTTTCATTTTTTAAAATCTTCAAACAATAGTTCCATTTTTTAAATCTTCAAACAATAGTTCCATTTTTTTAATCTTCAAACAATAGTTCCATTTTTTAAATCTTCAAACAATAGTTTCATTTTTTTAAAAATCTTCAAACAATAGTTCCATTTTTTTAAAATCTTCAAACAATAGTTCCATTTTTTTAAAAAATCTTCAAACAATAGTTCCATTTTTTTTAAATCTTCAAACAATAGTTTCATTTTTTAAAATCTTCAAACAATAGTTCCATTTTTTTAATCTTCAAACAATAGTTCCATTTTTTTAAAATCTTCAAACAATAGTTTCATTTTTTAAAATCTTCAAACAATAGTTCCATTTTTTTAATCTTCAAACAATAGTTCCATTTTTTTAATCTTCAAACAATAGTTCCATTTTTTAAATCTTCAAACAATAGTTTCATTTTTTTAAAAATCTTCAAACAATAGTTCCATTTTTTTTAAATCTTCAAACAATAGTTCCATTTTTTTTAAAAATCTTCAAACAATAGTTCCATTTTTTTTTAATCTTCAAACAATAGTTTCATTTTTTAAAATCTTCAAACAATAGTTCCATTTTTTTAATCTTCAAACAATAGTTCCATTTTTTAAAATCTTCAAACAATAGTTCCATTTTTTAAATCTTCAAACAATAGTTCCATTTTTTAAAAAATCTTCAAACAATAGTTCCATTTTTTTAATCTTCAAACAATAGTTCGATTTTTTAAAATCTTCAAACAATAGTTCCATTTTTTAAAATCTTCAAACAATAGTTCCATTTTTTTTAAAATCTTTAAACAATAGTTCCATTTTTTAAAATCTTCAAACAATAGTTCCATTTTTTTAATCTTCAAACAGTAGTTCCATTTTTTAAATCTTCAAATAATAGTTCCATTTTTTAAAATCTTCAAATAATAGTTCCATTTTTTTAATCTTCAAACAATAGTTCCATTTTTTTAATCTTCAAACAATAGTTCAATTTTTAAAATCTTCAAATAATAGTTCCATTTTTTTAATCTTCAAACAATAGTTCCATTTTTTAAATCTTCAAACAATAGTTCCATTTTTTAAAATCTTCAAACAATAGTTCCATTTTTTAAATCTTCAAACAATAGTTCCATTTTTTTAATCTTCAAACAATAGTTCAATTTTTAAAATCTTCAAATAATAGTTCCATTTTTTTAATCTTCAAACAATAGTTCCATTTTTTAAATCTTCAAACAATAGTTCCATTTTTTAAAATCTTCAAACAATAGTTCCATTTTTTAAATCTTCAAACAATAGTTCCATTTTTTTAATCTTCAAACAATAGTTCCATTTTTTAAAATCTTCAAACAGTAGTTCCATTTTTGTTTAATTGACTGCATGGGTCACATTTCATATTTTACACACACTTAAAATACTTAACACAAATCAAAATGTTTTGACAATTATTCATATTTTACCCCGGTCTAAAATATTTTGACCATCATTCATATCTCCCAATAGTAAAATATTTTGATGATTATTTATATTTTACCCCGGTCTAAAATATTTTGACCATCATTCATATCTCCCAATAGTAAAATATTTTGATGATTATTTATATTTTACCCCGGTCTAAAATATTTTGACCATCATTCATATCTCCCAATAGTAAAATATTTTGATGATTATTTATATTACTCTCTAGTTTAGAGTACATTGATCATTTTGCATATATATTTTATATCTGATTCTTTTAACTGAAGTGTTCGTAAACATTGCACTAAGTTTCTATTTATTGTTAAATTAATTTTTTAATTGTTGTAATCTTTTTATATCTGAATGCAATAGAAAATAAGTCTTATTTAAGTGCTGAAATATTTTCTACTAGATAAATAGCCTGTTGAGGGAGAAATACAACGGCATTAGGATGATAGTGTTGTCTTTTACTCTAAACTGAAATGAAAACTAAAATCACCAACTCCGCTTCAAAAGAAAAATATCATTGAAACCATACTTTTATCCAGAATATGTATTTTAACCAGATTAAACTTTGATCTATATGTAGTTACTGCACATTCATAATAAATATAGTCGTAGTCATACCCTTAAAATTAGCACCTAAGTTCAAACTTGACAAAGTCCCAGAATTTCTTACAGGTAACCCTTTGGGAAAGGGGGGGCAGAACATCTACCACCCCCTATAATGAAATAGAATTTATATAGAGCCCCCTGAAGAACATCTACCACCCCCTGTCATAAATTTATATAGAAAATATACTTCACCAGTGTCAACTCCCCAAAAAAGTCTGAAAGAAACAGTGGTTGCATTTAGGGGGTGAGGGTGGGCTCTTTCCCCTCCTTATACCCTAACCCATGACCTAACCCTAACCCTGCTTGAAAGAAACTAGGTGCAGACCACTTTGTGGGAAGTTTTGTTTTTTGTTTGACTGTGAAAGTTTGTGTTTTCTCCATTCCCAACAGACAGATGATAGAATAGCGTAACTATTATTATAGATTAAATAATGAGATTTAAAGATTGGCTTTGTTTTTTCTTATTGACCATGTAGCCTGTTTTATACAATGATAAGCCATCAGCTGGCTGTAGCTATATTCTCAGCTGGCTGTAGCTATATTCTCAGCTGGCTGTAGCTATATTCTCAGCTGGCTGTAGCTATATTCTCAGCTGGCTGTAGCTATATTCTCAGCTGGCTGTAGCTATATTCTCAGCTGGCTGTAGCTATATTCTCAGCTGGCTGTAGCTATATTCTCAGCTGGCTGTAGCTATATTCTCAGCTGGCTGTAGCTATATTCTCAGCTGGCTGTAGCTATATTCTCAGCTGGCTGTAGCTATATTCTCAGCTGGCTGTAGCTATATTCTCAGCTGGCTGTAGCTATATTCTCAGCTGGCTGTAGCTATATTCTCAGCTGGCTGTAGCTATATTCTCATAACTTACATTCAACCACCAGCTAAACTAGAATTGGTTTTCATATATCCAAGTATTGACAGCAAATATTGGACAGCAGACAAAGGCACTCTCATTAAAAAAAATGTGCAAGTGTTTTCCATGGGATTTCTCCAGGGCCCAAGGGCACAGATAGACAGAGAGTTGTACAAAAAAAATCTCCAAGCCGAAGTCTTCTCATACCCAAATCTGACAGTCAGAGCTGCAGCGGTGGAAGATCTGGTTACATCAGGAGTTGATGGTCACGGTGGTGTCTACTTGGGGTGTCATGGTGTTGTGTTGGGTGAGTTTATAACTGGGGTGTTGTGTTGGGTGAGTTTATAACTGGGGTGTTGTGTTGGGTGAGTTTATAACTTGTGTCATGGTGTTGTGTTGGGTGAGTTTATAACTGGGGTGTTGTGTTGGGTGAGTTTATAACTGGGGTGTTGTGTTGGGTGAGTTTATAACTTGTGTCATGGTGTTGTGTTGGGTGAGTTTATAACTGGTGTCATGGTGTTGTGTTGGGTGAGTTTATAACTGGTGTCATGGTGTTGTGTTGGGTGAGTTTATAACTGGTGTCATGGTGTTGTGTTGGGTGAGTTTATAACTGGTGTCATGGTGTTGTGTTGGGTGAGTTTATAACTGGGGTGTTGTGTTGGGTGAGTTTATAACTGGGGTGTTGTGTTGGGTGAGTTTATAACTTGTGTCATGGTGTTCTGTTGGGTGAGTTTATAACTGGGGTGTTGTGTTGGGTGAGTTTATAACTGGTGTCATGGTGTTGTGTTGGGTGAGTTTATAACTTGTGTCATGGTGTTGTGTTGGGTGAGTTTATAACTGGTGTCATGGTGTTGTGTTGGGTGAGTTTATAACTGGGGTGTTGTGTTGGGTGAGTTTATAACTGGGGTGTTGTGTTGGGTGAGTTTATAACTGGGGTGTTGTGTTGGGTGAGTTTATAACTTGTGTCATGGTGTTGTGTTGGGTGAGTTTATAACTGGTGTCATGGTGTTGTGTTGGGTGAGTTTATAACTGGTGTCATGGTGTTGTGTTGGGTGAGTTTATAACTGGGGTGTCATGGTGTTGTGTTGGGTGAGTTTATAACTGGTGTCATGGTGTTGTGTTGGGTGAGTTTATAACTGGGGTGTTGTGTTGGGTGAGTTTATAACTGGGGTGTTGTGTTGGGTGAGTTTATAACTGGGGTGTTGTGTTGGGTGAGTTTATAACTGGGGTGTTGTGTTGGGTGAGTTTATAACTTGTGTCATGGTGTTGTGTTGGGTGAGTTTATAACTTGTGTCATGGTGTTGTGTTGGGTGAGTTTATAACTGGGGTGTTGTGTTGGGTGAGTTTATAACTGGGGTGTTGTGTTGGGTGAGTTTATAACTGGGGTGTTGTGTTGGGTGAGTTTATAACTTGTGTCATGGTGTTGTGTTGGGTGAGTTTATAACTTGTGTCATGGTGTTGTGTTGGGTGAGTTTATAACTGGGGTGTTGTGTTGGGTGAGTTTATAACTGGGGTGTTGTGTTGGGTGAGTTTATAACTGGGGTGTTGTGTTGGGTGAGTTTATAACTGGGGTGTTGTGTTGGGTGAGTTTATAACTTGTGTCATGGTGTTGTGTTGGGTGAGTTTATATCTGGGGTGTTGTGTTGGGTGAGTTTATAACTGGGGTGTTGTGTTGGGTGAGTTTATAACTGGGGTGTTGTGTTGGGTGAGTTTATAACTTGTGTCATGGTGTTGTGTTGGGTGAGTTTATAACTGGGGTGTTGTGTTGGGTGAGTTTATAACTGGGGTGTTGTGTTGGGTGAGTTTATAACTGGTGTCATGGTGTTGTGTTGGGTGAGTTTATAACTGGGGTGTTGTGTTGGGTGAGATTATAACTGGTGTCATGGTGTTGTGTTGGGTGAGTTTATAACTAGTGTCATGGTGTTGTGTTGGGTGAGTTTATAACTTGTGTCATGGTGTTGTGTTGGGTGAGTTTATAACTGGTGTCATGGTGTTGTGTTGGGTGAGTTTATAACTGGGGTGTTGTGTTGGGTGAGTTTATAACTGGGGTGTTGTGTTGGGTGAGTTTATAACTTGTGTCATGGTGTTGTGTTGGGTGAGTTTATAACTGGGGTGTTGTGTTGGGTGAGTTTATAACTGGGGTGTTGTGTTGGGTGAGTTTATAACTGGGGTGTTGTGTTGGGTGAGTTTATAACTGGTGTCATGGTGTTGTGTTGGGTGAGTTTATAACTGGGGTGTTGTGTTGGGTGAGTTTATAACTGGTGTCATGGTGTTGTGTTGGGTGAGTTTATAACTAGTGTCATGGTGTTGTGTTGGGTGAGTTTATAACTTGTGTCATGGTGTTGTGTTGGGTGAGTTTATAACTGGTGTCATGGTGTTGTGTTGGGTGAGTTTATAACTGGGGTGTTGTGTTGGGTGAGTTTATAACTGGGGTGTTGTGTTGGGTGAGTTTATAACTGGGGTGTTGTGTTGGGTGAGTTTATAACTTGTGTCATGGTGTTGTGTTGGGTGAGTTTATAACTGGGGTGTTGTGTTGGGTGAGTTTATAACTGGGGTGTTGTGTTGGGTGAGTTTATAACTTGTGTCATGGTGTTGTGTTGGGTGAGTTTATAACTGGGGTGTTGTGTTGGGTGAGTTTATAACTGGTGTCATGGTGTTGTGTTGGGTGAGTTTATAACTGGGGTGTTGTGTTGGGTGAGTTTATAACTGGTGTCATGGTGTTGTGTTGGGTGAGTTTATAACTAGTGTCATGGTGTTGTGTTGGGTGAGTTTATAACTTGTGTCATGGTGTTGTGTTGGGTGAGTTTATAACTGGGGTGTTGTGTTGGGTGAGTTTATAACTGGTGTCATGGTGTTGTGTTGGGTGAGTTTATAACTTGTGTCATGGTGTTGTGTTGTGTGAGTTTATAACTTGTGTCATGGTGTTGTGTTGGGTGAGTTTATAACTTGTGTCATGGTGTTGTGTTGGGTGAGTTTATAACTGGGGTGTTGTGTTGGGTGAGTTTATAACTGGGGTGTTGTGTTGGGTGAGTTTATAACTGGGGTGTTGTGTTGGGTGAGTTTATAACTTGTGTCATGGTGTTGTGTTGGGTGAGTTTATAACTGGGGTGTTGTGTTGGGTGAGTTTATAACTTGTGTCATGGTGTTCTGTTGGGTGAGTTTATAACTGGGGTGTTGTGTTGGGTGAGTTTATAACTGGTGTCATGGTGTTGTGTTGGGTGAGTTTATAACTTGTGTCATGGTGTTGTGTTGGGTGAGTTTATAACTGGTGTCATGGTGTTGTGTTGGGTGAGTTTATAACTGGGGTGTTGTGTTGGGTGAGTTTATAACTGGGGTGTTGTGTTGGGTGAGTTTATAACTGGGGTGTTGTGTTGGGTGAGTTTATAACTTGTGTCATGGTGTTGTGTTGGGTGAGTTTATAACTGGGGTGTTGTGTTGGGTGAGTTTATAACTGGGGTGTTGTGTTGGGTGAGTTTATAACTTGTGTCATGGTGTTGTGTTGGGTGAGTTTATAACTTGTGTCATGGTGTTCTGTTGGGTGAGTTTATAACTTGTGTCATGGTGTTGTGTTGGGTGAGTTTATAACTGGGGTGTTGTGTTGGGTGAGTTTATAACTGGGGTGTTGTGTTGGGTGAGTTTATAACTGGGGTGTTGTGTTGGGTGAGTTTATAACTGGTAATGATGAACATTTATCTCCCAGACTCTGGTGAAGTGGTGAGCTCACGTGCCGTGGTTCTAACAACTGGCACATTTTTGAGGGGGTCAATCAATGTTGGTCTGACCTGTCGACCAGCTGGCAGAGTGGGAGATGAACCTTCCATTGGTCTGGCCAAAACTATAGAGAAGGCTGGCTTCACCATGGGCAGACTCAAAACAGGTCAATTTCTACTTGCATGTCAAATATCCTTGGGCTTGTTTATTGTTCAAAAAGTTTTGTCTTAAGTGTCAGTAGAGCTAAATTCCAGTGTAAGACTTAAATCATAGTTTACCTCTTGGTCCAGATGTTTGAGTGTAGGTCTGGGTGGCCAGATGTTTGAGTGTAGGTCTGGGTGGGCCAACAGATGTTTGAGTGTAGGTCTGGGTGGGCCAACAGATGTTTGAGTGTAGGTCTGGGTGGCCAGATGTTTGAGTGTAGGTCTGGGTGGCCAGAGGTTTGAGTGTAGGTCTGGGTGGGCCAACAGATGTTTGAGTGTAGGTCTGGGTGGCCAGATGTTTGAGTGTAGGTCTGGGTGGGCCAACAGATGTTTGAGTGTAGGTCTGGGTGGCCAGAGGTTTGAGTGTAGGTCTGGGTGGCCAGATGTTTGAGTGTAGGTCTGGGTGGGCCAACAGATGTTTGAGTGTAGGTCTGGGTGGCCAGATGTTTGAGTGTAGGTCTGGGTGGGCCAACAGATGTTTGAGTGTAGGTCTGGGTGGCCAGATGTTTGAGTGTAGGTCTGGGTGGGCCAACAGATGTTTGAGTGTAGGTCTGGGTGGCCAGATGTTTGAGTGTAGGTCTGGGTGGGCCAACAGATGTTTGAGTGTAGGTCTGGGTGGCCAGATGTTTGAGTGTAGGTCTGGGTGGGCCAACAGATGTTTGAGTGTAGGTCTGGGTGGCCAGATGTTTGAGTGTAGGTCTGGGTGGGCCAACAGATGTTTGAGTGTAGGTCTGGGTGGCCAGATGTTTGAGTGTAGGTCTGGGTGGGCCAACAGATGTTTGAGTGTAGGTCTGGGTGGCCAGATGTTTGAGTGTAGGTCTGGGTGGGCCAACAGATGTTTGAGTGTAGGTCTGGGTGGCCCAACAGATGTTTGAGTGTAGGTCTGGGTGGCCAGATGTTTGAGTGTAGGTCTGGGTGGGCCAACAGATGTTTGAGTGTAGGTCTGGGTGGCCAGATGTTTGAGTGTAGGTCTGGGTGGGCCAACAGATGTTTGAGTGTAGGTCTGGGTGGCCAGATGTTTGAGTGTAGGTCTGGGTGGGCCAACAGATGTTTGAGTGTAGGTCTGGGTGGCCCAACAGATGTTTGAGTGTAGGTCTGGGTGGCCAGATGTTTGAGTGTAGGTCTGGGTGGGCCAACAGATGTTTGAGTGTAGGTCTGGGTGGCCAGATGTTTGAGTGTAGGTCTGGGTGGGCCAACAGATGTTTGAGTGTAGGTCTGGGTGGCCAGATGTTTGAGTGTAGGTCTGGGTGGGCCAACAGATGTTTGAGTGTAGGTCTGGGTGGCCAGATGTTTGAGTGTAGGTCTGGGTGGGCCAACAGATGTTTGAGTGTAGGTCTGGGTGGGCCAACATATGTTTGAGTGTAGGTCTGGGTGGGCCAACAGATGTTTGAGTGTAGGTCTGGGTGGGCAAATGTTTGTTCAGATATTTTTTTTGTGACCTTAACTTAGCCATGAAAAAAAATATTTTGTAATATTTGAAGGAACACCCCCTAGAATAGATGGTAAAAGCATTGATTTCAAGCAGACAGTAGCCAAATATGGAGATATTCACCCTGTTCCCTTCTCTTTCATGAATGAATCTGTGTGGATTAAGGTATGTTAATCATGTGAATAAATACAGGCAAATTGTTAACCACTTTACTAGATGCTCTCCATAGACTCTAGTAAGTTAAGTAAGACAGACACTAGTTACTTAGAACAAAGAAAGTCATTGACTCTTACATATTCTTATAATAATCTTTTTCTTATTAACCATTTTTTGTACTAAGCCAAGCCCCTGACTGTACTAACCCAAGCCCCTGACTGTACACTGTCAGTAGAGTACCGGACTGCTGATATTCTAGTCCACCTGGCTAACCCACCCCTCTCAATCAATTCTTTTGATGCCACCCCATTCAATATTTGTATTTCATTTTATTGATTCAATAACAACATTAGGGATGGAGGCTATTTGTTTTTGCATCAGTCCTGTTTAAAAAAAAACAAAAAACAATGTGTATAGACAATGGATAGAAAAAAAAACATAATAGATGAATGAGAATTGTTGCAACTAGTAACTTTAGGAGGTCGTGAAATATTCGTTTTTTAAGTTTAGTTTTGAAAATATTTTCAAACCACGATGGAAGCATAATTGAACCTAGACTGAATAAAAGCCTTGTAAAAAACTAACCTGCTCTTATGGTCAACACAAATTTTTATCCTTGCTAGTTGAATTATGTGCACCTAGCCTGCCCTGATTTAGACTAATGTTGGATCATTAGGTTAAATTAAATGTTGGATGAGTAGGCTAGGACAAATGTTGGATGATTAGGTTAGGACAAATGTTGGATGATTAGATTAGGACAAATGTTGGATGATTAGATTTAAACAAATGTTGGATGATTAGATTTAAACAAATGTTGGATGATTAGGTTAGGACAAATGTTGGATGATTAGATTAGGACAAATGTTGGATGATTAGATTTAAACAAATGTTGGATGATTAGATTTAAACAAATGTTGGATGATTAGGTTAGGACAAATGTTGGATGATTAGGTTTAGACAAATGTTGGATGATTAGGTTAGGACACATGTTGGATGATTAGATTAAGACAAATGTTGGATGATTAGGTTAGGACAAATGTTGGATGATTAGGTTACATTAAATGTTGGATGATTAGATTTAGACAAATATTGGATGTTTAGGTTACATTAAATGTTAGATGATTAGATTAAGACAAATGTTGAATGATTAGGTTAAGTGGCGTTGCTAGGTTGGGTGTCACTTGGTGTGCCACCTCATGGTGTCACACCCCCCCCCCCCCCAACCCGAAAAAATAATTGTCACCTCCCTCCCATTTTGCCTAATGGCCTCAATTTGTGAGCTCATTATATCAATCCACAAATTCATTTATGTGGAAAAAGTATAGTTTTCATCGTAAATTATTAGAATTCGGTTGACTTAACAGTTATTCAAAATACTCAACAAAACAATTTTCCTCTGCAAAGTTTATAGTTGTTTTTACCCTAAAGTGTGCACAGTTAATAGTAAAGATGTTTATCTATAGTCAGTTATTAATGTAGGTGGATTAACTAATTGAAGTGTCAAAAAGCGTATTTCTTCTATATATCTTACAATTTTTTTGTCTTGGTGTCACCCCCTAAATGGTCCGCACCCCCGCCTCACGATGCCTTTAATTAGATTGATGTTCTTTTTTCAGCCTGAAGAACAGTTACCTTGTCACATGACCTACACAACAGAAGCTGTGGCTAAGATTGTGCGCGACACTCTACATCTCAATAGGCATGTACAGGAGGAGATCAATGGCCCAAGGTTAGTCTTAGAATAGACTTTTACAAGTGGCCCAAGGTTAGTCTTAGAATAGACTTTTACAAGTGGCCCAAGGTTAGTCTTAGAATAGACTTTTACAAGTGGCCCAAGGTTAGTCTTAGAATAGACTTTTACAAGTGGCCCAAGGTTAGTCTTAGAATAGACTTTTACAAGTGGCCCAAGGTTAGTCTTAGAATAGACTTTTACAAGTGGCCCAAGGTTAGTCTTAGAATAGACTTTTACAAGAGATCAATGGCCCAAGGTTAGTCTTAGAATAGACTTTTACAAGTGGCCCAAGGTTAGTCTTAGAATAGACTTTTACAAGTGGCCCAAGGTTAGTCTTAGAATAGACTTTTACAAGTGGCCCAAGGTTAGTCTTAGAATAGACTTTTACAAGTGGCCCAAGGTTAGTCTTAGAATAGACTTTTACAAGTGGTCAATGGCACAAGGTTAGTCTTAGAATAGACTTTTACAAGTGGCCCAATGTTAGTCTTAGAATAGACTTTTACAAGAGATCAATGGCCCAAGGTTAGTCTTAGAATAGACTTTTACAAGTGGCCCAAGGTTAGTCTTAGAATAGACTTTTACAAGTGGCCCAAGGTTAGTCTTAGAATAGACTTTTACAAGTGGCCCAAGGTTAGTCTTAGAATAGACTTTTACAAGTGGTCAATGGCCCAAGGTTAGTCTTAGAATAGACTTTTACAAGTGGCCCAAGGTTAGTCTTAGAATAGACTTTTACAAGTGGCCCAAGGTTAGTCTTAGAATAGACTTTTACAAGTGGCCCAAGGTTAGTCTTAAAATAGACTTTTACAAGTGGTCAATGGCACAAGGTTAGTCTTAGAATAGACTTTTACAAGTGGCCCAAGGTTAGTCTTAGAATAGACTTTTACAAGTGGCCCAAGGTTAGTCTTAGAATAGACTTTTACAAGTGGCCCAAGGTTAGTCTTAGAATAGACTTTTACAAGTGGCCCAAGGTTAGTCTTAGAATAGACTTTTACAAGTGGCCCAAGGTTAGTCTTAGAATAGACTTTTACAAGAGATCAATGGCACAAGGTTAGTCTTAGAATAGACTTTTACAAGTGGCCCAAGGTTAGTCTTAGAATAGACTTTTACAAGTGGCCCAAGGTTAGTCTTAGAATAGACTTTTACAAGAGATCAATGGACTTTATTTATTTACCATCTTTTTATCATGTATTAAGAATTGTAATGAGTATTTTGTCTTGTGAAATGTTGACTTTCTTATGGATCTTTTTCTTGAAATGCTTAAGGATTGTAATGTAGCATCTGAGTGTCTAGGTCTAGAAGGTAGGTCTCTGTGTAGAATCTTAGGCTGTCTTGTCTGGGTCCAGCTGTGAGGGATTACACTTGAAACATTTTGTGTCATTGATGTGATCAATACAGGCCGGGCATGATTTAATATAGTCAAGAGACCATTGAGATCTGTGACATTAGCCAAAATGGTTACTGTTAATTTATTATCTAGGATCATACAAGGAAAAGTCTTATTTAATTTATCAATTTGTTTGCGTAATGCTTCTGTAAAGGAAAGTTAAAAATAATTTCTCATGAAAGACCAAAACTATAGCTGTACAACTAATGAGAAATAACTGAACTAACTTATATCCACCTCCTTATACCTAACCCTGTTCCTAAACCTAACCCAATAGTAATTAATTGGGCGAAGGCTTGCTCTCATTCACCAACCTTCTACCCTATTGTGTACATCAAACCTCTATAGAACTGTTTGGCTTAGTTTGTGTACAGTTACATCAAACCTCTATAGAACTGTTTGGCTTAGTTTGTGTACAGTTACATCAAACCTCTATAGAACTGTTTGGCTTAGTTTGTGTACAGTTACATCAAACCTCTATACAACTGTTTGGCTTAGTTTGTGTACAGTTACATCAAACCTCTATAGAACTGTTTGGCTTAGTTTGTGTACAGTTACATCAAACCTCTATAGAACTGTTTGGCTTAGTTTGTGTACAGTTACATCTAACCTCTATAGAACTGTTTGGCTTAGTTTGTGTACAGTTACATCAAACCTCTATAGAACTGTTTGGCTTAGTTTGTGTACAGTTACATCAAACCTCTATAGAACTGTTTGGCTTAGTTTGTGTACAGTTACATCTAACCTCTATAGAACTGTTTGGCTTAGTTTGTGTACAGTTACATCAAACCTCTATAGAACTGTTTGGCTTAGTTTGTGTACAGTTACATCAAACCTCTATACAACTGTTTGGCTTAGTTTGTGTACAGTTACATCAAACCTCTATAGAACTGTTTGGCTTAGTTTGTGTACAGTTACATCAAACCTCTATAGAACTGTTTGGCTTAGTTTGTGTACAGTTACATCAAACCTCTATAGAACTGTTTGGCTTAGTTTGTGTACAGTTACATCTAACCTCTATAGAACTGTTTGGCTTAGTTTGTGTACAGTTACATCAAACCTCTATAGAACTGTTTGGCTTAGTTTGTGTACAGTTACATCAAACCTCTATAGAACTGTTTGGCTTAGTTTGTGTACAGTTACATCAAACCTCTATAGAACTGTTTGGCTTAGTTTGTGTACAGTTACATCAAACCTCTATAGAACTGTTTGGCTTAGTTTGTGTACAGTTACATCAAACCTCTATAGAACTGTTTGGCTTAGTAAAGCCCCATCCACAATTATTAATAGAAAGATTTGGATTTTAAAAAGTATAGTGCGGATCACTTTGTTTTAGAGAGTAATGTAATCTTAAATACTTTGCTTTAAGTCAGGGGTCTCCAAACTACGGCCCGCGGGCCGGATGCGGCCCGCGAGGTACTCTCATCCGGCCCGCGGAGATCTTTTTGTCCACGGAAAAAACGTTTGTTGGTGATAGCCGAGGAACTTTGCCTAGAAAAATCAAAGACATGCCTAGTAGAAACTGGCCCCCGAACTGAACTTTGATAGTCAATGCGGCCCTCGGGCTGAAAAGTTTGGAGACCCCTGCTTTAAGTAAATGGTAAGTTTTATTACATATTCATTCAATCATAGCAAGATTTTTACTGATATCAAGCTAATGAAAACAATTGCAATTCTTCATACCAGTGAATACATCTTGTGATGTTTCCTTTATTTAATTCTAGTATAGAAACATACTTCCTGTCTAGTATAGAAACATACTTCCTGTCTAGTATAGAAACATACTTCCTGTCTAGTATAGAAACATACTTCCTGTCTAGTATAGAAACATACTTCCTGTCTAGTATAGAAACATACTTCCTGTCTAGTATAGAAACATACTTCCTGTCTAGTATAGAAACATACTTCCTGTCTAGTATAGAAACATACTTCCTGTCTAGTATAGAAACATACTTCCTGTCTGTCTAGTATAGAAACATACTTCCTGTCTGTCTAGTATAGAAACATACTTCCTGTCTAGTATAGAAACATACTTCCTGTCTAGTATAGAAACATAGTCTGGTATAGAAACATACTTCCTGTCTAGTATAGAAACTGTCTGGTATAGTAACATACTTCCTGTCTAGTATAGAAACATACTTCCTGTCTGGTATAGAAACATACTTCCTGTCTGTCTGGTATAGAAACATACTACCTGTCTGTCTAGTATAGAAACATACTTCCTGTCTGTCTGGTATAGAAACATACTTCCTGTCTAGTATAGAAACCTACTTCCTGTCTAGTATAGAAACATACTACCTGTCTAGTATAGAAACATACCTCCTGTCTAGTATAGAAACATACTTCCTGTCTAGTATAGCAACATAGTCTGGTATAGAAACATACTTCCTGTCTAGTATAGAAACATACTTCCTGTCTGGTATAGAAACATACTTCCTGTCTGTCTGGTATAGAAACATACTACCTGTCTGTCTAGTATAGAAACATACTTCCTGTCTGTCTATTATAGAAACATACTACCTGTCTATTATAGAAACATACTTCCTGTCTAGTATAGAAACATACTTCCTGTCTATTATAGAAACATACTTCCTGTCTAGTATAGAAAGATACTTCCTGTCTGTCTAGTATCGAAACATACTTCCTGTCTAGTATAGAAACATATTTCCTGTCTGTCTAGTATAGAAACATACATCCTGTCTAGTATAGAAATATACTTCCTGTCTAGTATAGAAACATATTTCCTGTCTGTCTAGTATAGAAACATACTTCCTGTCTAGTATAGAAACATACTTCCTGTCTAGTATAGAAACATACTTCCTGTCTAGTATAGAAACATACTTCCTGTCTAGTATAGAAACATAGTCTGGTATAGAAACATACTTCCTGTCTAGTATAGAAACATATTTCCTGTCTAGTATAGAAACATAGTTTGGTATAGAAACATACTTCCTGTCTAGTATAGAAACATATTTTCTGTCTAGTATAGAAACATAGTTTGGTATAGAAACATACTTCCTGTCTAGTATAGAAACATACTTCCTGTCTAGTATAGAAACATAGTCTGGTATAGAAACATACTTCCTGTCTATTATAGAAACATACTTCCTGTCTAGTATAGAAAGATACTTCCTGTCTAGTATAGAAACATACTTCCTGTCTAGTATAGAAACATATTTCCTGTCTGTCTAGTATAGAAACATACTTCCTGTCTAGTATAGAAACATAGTCTGGTATAGAAACATACTTCCTGTCTAGTATAGAAACATATTTCCTGTCTAGTATAGAAACATAGTTTGGTATAGAAACATACTTCCTGTCTAGTATAGAAACATATTTCCTGTCTAGTATAGAAACATAGTCTGGTATAGAAACATACTTCCTGTCTAGTATAGAAACATAGTCTGGTATAGAAACATACTTCCTGTCTAGTATAGAAACATATTTCCTGTCTAGTATAGAAACATAGTTTGGTATAGAAACATACTTCCTGTCTAGTATAGAAACATATTTCCTGTCTAGTATAGAAACATAGTTTGGTATAGAAACATACTTCCTGTCTAGTATAGAAACATACAGTCAATAAAAACAAGTTTTTGAAGGGAGCTAAGAG